GTCGCCTCCCGTGTGTCGAGCCCTTAAGAGGTTTTTATTTAATAGAATTTTTGGACAAAAAAAAAATCGCAATATACCGCAATATATTGCCTTGCTTACAGTATCGCAATATATCGGGATATATTGTATCGTGACCCCTCTGTTATGATATGTATCGTATCGCCAAATTCTTGCCAATACACAGCCCTAGTAATTTTACTTATATCTTATACACACGTATGTTTGATATCATTTTGTGTCTTATTAAAAAAGACTATGGTGCATAGTAGTTTTTTTTATTTGCATGTTAAAAATTGACGATAAAGACTTAAGAGGTTTGAGGAAATGGCATGACTACAGCAAAGTTGATTTATCAGTCACAGTAAACTACTGTTCAAAGTTACTTCTGACATGTAATGACAAGTGTAATTGCATCAAATGGGGAAAATGTGACAGTGGGTTGGTGTGAGACAATCTTTTCCTGCCTTGAATTTCTCACCTTGTTGGCTGCCAGGAAGTCCCTCATGGAAATCATCTCTCCAGACATCCTGCGCCCTGTGTCAGTCTCACTCTCGTTGATGGCGTCTGTCTCGATCGAAGGGTCTCGGCGGGCACGGAGGTGACCCGGGGCGACCACGTTACGTCGTGGGTGCCGGTGCGAGTGTTGGCCCCTCCTCGGAAAGCAGCAGCGGCATGGGACTTCCAGCCTCCTRAGAAGCCAGTTAAGGACCTGCTTGATGACGATAGAGATGACGTTGAAGAGCGAGTAGATGCAGCAGACGCCTGTCAAGATGAAGAAGAAGTTGCCGACTCGGTACGCCACTGTGGCATGGCCCTCGTAGACGACTCGTTGGCTGCTCACCATATCCCCAAAGCCGATGGTGCTGAAGGCCACAAAGCAGAAGTAGAGTGAGTCAAGATATTCCCAGCCTTCAGCCGCTGAATACATCAGAGAAGCGCAACAGGACACCAAGACGGCCGCCGCTCCGAGGATAAACATAACGCAATAGACYGAGGGTTTCCAGCCGGCGAGATGTTGGCCCTTTCCTACTCCACCTGCCTCAGCTCCACCAGCTCTGCCTTCTTCAGAGACGCAACGTCCATTTTGTGGGAGCACAACCTTATTACGGCGCCGTTCGTGAAAGGACTTGAGGACAAAGGCGATGACGGTGATGACCCGCTCCAGAAAGAGGTTGAAAAAGAGGATGGTGGCAGCACAACCCAACAGGCCGTAAAACATCAGGAAGACTTTTCCTCCGACGGTGGCAGGAGTGGTCATCCCAAACCCTGGCACACACAAACATTCTGCAGTGAGCTGACACATTACTGAAACCAGTATAAGACAGGATACATTAGTAGTTACTAATAGTATTCACTGGGCTGCAATGGTTGTGGGGGTAGTTGGTGTCTAAAAACTGAGAGAAAATTGTGAGAAGATAAGTTTTCATTTGCAGTCATACTAAATGCTCAGTATCTGCCACCATGTGACTGAATTTTGCACGGCCAATTTTTGAAAATCACAGCCTATAATATGTGCACAGTTTGCAAAACTGCATTGTAGGCTATGGACTTTTTTTTTGGTTGCCCACTTCAGCCCACTTTGTACCCAACTTCACAGCTGCSCAAATGTAGACAGGCTAGGACTAGTTTAAAAAAATATTACTAAATACTAGAATAGTTCCTGGAGTAACTATGAAAGGGCTTGGCACATGGCATTCATTCTAAATTTAAGATTCAACTTTAATATTTGTTGAGTCACTGTCATCGACCACCATACAAAATTTCACCTCAATATGGCTAAAAATGCCAGAGTTATGGTAAATTCTTCCTCTTAGYTATGGTGGCCATCTTGGATGTGTGATTTGTATTCAGTATGTGATGAGGATCTTTCTTAGCTACCATCACACACATTTAAGCCACATATGTACAAACATGGCTGAGTTATGGTCAATTTAGCATTTTAGCTATGGCAGGCATGTTGGACTTTTGGTTTGGCTTCAGTATGTGATGGGGTCATTCTCAGTTACAACTGCACCAAATTTGGTCAAGTTATGGCAGTTTCAAATTAGCTCMGGCAGCCATCTTAAATTTTTATTTAGCATTCAAAATTTGTCAAAGCTTGTTCTTGGCTACTACTATACCAGTGTTTAGCTTTGTGGCCTTCTTCTTTAGTAAGTTTAAAAATAGAAGAATTTTTACTTATTTTAAATAAGCATTAGTGGTTAGCATTCAGAATGTGTTGAGTTAGCTCTCAGTTACCATCCCACCATATTTCACCTTCTTATATCCTAATCTGTCCTCCTCTTACTGGACCTTTCCTCAGCCTTTGACACTGTCGATCACTCTATTCTCCTTCGAAACCTGAAAGACATAGGRACATCCGGGGTGGTGCTAGACTGGTTCAAATCATACCTCTCAGACCGCTCTTTCTCAGTCTTATTAGGTCAATCTCTCTCTGACTCAGCCAAACTCACMTGCGGAGTTCCACAGGGTTCCATCCTTGGCTCAATTCTATTCCTGCTCTACATCCGCCCCCTGACTGAGGTCATCAAAAATTTCCCAGACATCTCCTACCATTTCTATGCAGATGACCTGCAGTTATACTGCTCATTTAAAGAGTAAATTACCCAAAATTAACTTTTTTTTAGCTGATAAACTGTCTAGAATGTGTCTAAAATGTTATATAGTAC